TTATGCAAAAATAGTTCAACAATTGGAAAATAGTTAAAAATTTCACGCACCAACGCATGAAAGCTGAATTCGAAACCTTGAAGGGTGAATGTCTTTCCATGATTCCCGAGTTAATAGTTTACCTGCCAAAATTTTCATGAGGCCGTAAGTGATACTCAAGAGCGCGGGAACGCTCAATTTGAATAGGCAAGGTTGAGCGTGGGGGGGGGGAGGGGTCATTACCCTAAAATTTCAGCCTGCTAGACTCCGTGGTTCCTGAGATATTAATTTATCCGTAAAAAACTTTCACGGGGCCATACGTGTTACCCGCGGGTACGGGAAGGCTGAATTAAAATTTGCGGGGTCACACGTGGGTAGGGAACGTTACCCTAAATTTTCAGCTTCCTAGCTTTTGTGGTTCCCGAGTTGAAAGTTGCGGACAACCCCTTAAATTTTCAGCTTCCTAGCTTTTGTGGTTCCCGAGTTGAAAGTTGCGGACAAGTTGCTGCGTTAAATTTTCAGCTTCATAGCTTTTGTGGTTCCCGAGTTGAAAGTTGCGGACAAGTTGCTGCGGAACACACACACACACACACATACACAGACAACCCCGTGACAATATGCTTTTTGTACTGCTGTTACACAGCACAAAACGCATAAAAAGGGAAATGTGAATAAAATAAGATTAAAATTTGAATGGGAATGTTTCGGTCCATCAAGTCGCATTCCACACAAACACATACACTGGGCACGTCACTAGTCTAGCAAGTTAACCTTTAGAGTCGCGATACCCAATCTCAAATCCAGTCCAATTTTCATCTGAATAAATGTAGTTTACCTTCAGCGGTGAAGAAAGTGAGGGAGAGATGGTGCTGCCGTAGTGTGACGTTGATGGTTGAAGACCGGTCTCGGCCAGCAGAAGATCTCGTCGAAACGGATTCGTATGACCGATCAGTACCGGGCACTCCGGCAATGGACGAAGCTCATCCTGCGCATCTTCGAACTCCTCGGCGCTCGTGGATAACGATGAATCGGAGCTCTTCCGCACGGCCACTGCTGCTGCTGATGAAGATGATGTCATGCATGCGTCCGCACCGGAAATATATGAATTCGCATAAGCAGATGCTCAGCGACTAATGTAGCAACTGACACGCCAGAATCCATGTCCTACAGCATTATTCTTACGTCTCTGATGAGAGAAAAGAGGCGGGACAAAGAAGGGGCGGAGCCAGCGGCCAACGCGCTGCAAGACACATGTGTCGTACTGACGAGGTCCAGTTGCGGTGGTACTGGTAAGAAATGTATACGACTTTTGTGGACCGAAACATTTCTCTTCAGTCTACCAACTTTTTAAGTTTTGTATTTTGCTAACTATTTTTTTCATATTCCCTATCTATCTTATTCTTCCAATTTATACAAGAAACATGAGGCCAAGATGAAAAAATACAATACGAAAACTGAACAAAAAACATTTTACATTGAACAACATGAACAATTTTACTTATTTTTTTAAAAATGCACTCGACTGTCACTAGAAACTGACCACCAGATCAGGCGACATGGATCAAAGCAATCAGAATTTGGGGATAGAGAACGATAGTGTCAACTGCACCTGATCGAATTCTCTTTTAAATTTAGGGTTAAAAGAAAAATATAAGAATGATGAAGAAAAAATATAAGAAAAAATGATGGAAAAAGTAAGAAAGGAAGTATGAAATAAATGGCAACGCGCACCAGACTAGCCGGTGCGATCATGCGTTTTGTGCAATTCAGCCC